CGGGCTGGCCAAGCAAAGGCCCAAGCCCGTCCGTTTAGGCGGGCGGGCGGGCCAGCCCGCGGGCCATGGCCCGTTTTGACAGTGCTAATCCTAATCAATGTTTTAAATACTGTAGACATATCGGTCTAGCCACCGCACCGGTATGCAGTATTATCGGTAAGACTGGTAATTCCACTGGTATTACCGGTCTACTAACAAATAATATTATATATTTATATAAGATATCGTATTGAAAAAAAAAATATTGCGTGATGCTAGAGTGTAAATGTATATTTATTAGTGCCAACCTTAGGTATATTTTCAATTTTGGCCTTTTTTTCAAAAAAAAAAAAAAAAAATCAAGTTTTTATGCGTGTATGGCAGCAGCAACTTTTTTTTTTTTAGACCAGTATTTGGAGGTATATACGGTATGATACCGGTACAACACTGTATTATCGGAAATCCCTATTTTGAGTGTTTTTGTACCGTACCTATGGCCAGTATCCGGTAATACCGGTATTACCGGTCGGTACGGTACGGTTTTTAAATCACTGATCATAATTTTGGTATAATTGGATCGGGCTTCGCCCATTTCAAGGGTCGACTTTGAACAAACCTAACATATTAATGAACCGGAAATAATAAAAGATGAATTTGCTCCCTTTCCACCATGTATAATTTATATTACACTTATATACCTCTTATATTCTTATTTATAAAATTACCTAAACAAGAAAAAAATATTTCAGTTTTACCTATAATTGTTATTATCTTAATTCAAGCAAATTAAATACAAATGAGATCCTTAATTTGTAAATATCTACTTATCTAAGCAATCAGACGTTTAATTCACTCTGTCACTTCAAACCACCCCACTCCTCTCGTTCATCTCAGTCTGCACAACCGCTCCATTCTTTCCCCCAATTCGCTCGTCTGTGGCCAAGACTAAACTCTGGCTTCAAATACTCCGACAACCTCACCGGCTTCAAATAATTTATTATTTATTATTACAAATTTTAAATTTTATAATATTAAAGTATATAAAAATAATGTTTCACTTAATATTTTGATAATTTTATAATATATTACAAAAACTCAATATATTAAAATATATAAATTGTGCATTTCAATATTCATTTCTATAAATTGCAATATGATATGATGTGGCATGTGGTTTTCAATGTGCATCTACTTAATATATTGTGCGTTTTACTTGTTACTAATATGTTTAATTAAAATTTTTATAATTTACATATTTACTCAATTAACTAAATTGAAAAAATATTGATTGTATAATGTGTTTTCGACACTATGTGCATTTCATATAATATATACTAAACATGTTTTTCATATATTATTTAATATACTTGGTATTACTATTGTGCATTTCTATATTCATTTTCATTTAACATTATTATTTATTCATTAATCTTTTGGTAAATTGCATATCGTGTATTGTTAGTGTGCAATATATTGAACTTTTGATAAATTACAAAACTGTCGCACTATTAAAATATAATCTAATAAAAGTTACGAAATTGCACAAAAGACTCTACAAAATGTCTAATTTTCATCGCAAAGCGCCAACAAAAAAAAAAAAAAAA